GGACGCAACAAGCGGCTATACCAACCACAAATATATGATCGTGTCCTCTGGCGACCTGTCGCCAGGAGACACGACCAGGGGAAGCTCTTCAGGGGCTGCGCGTAGGCTCCACAGGGGCTTTGCAGAGGCTCTTCAGAGGCTCTGCGGAGGCTCTTCAGAGGCTGTTCAGAGGCTGTTCAGAGGATCTTCAGAGGCTCTTCGGAGGCTCTGCAGAGGCTCTTCAGAGGCTCTGCAGCTCGGCAGAGGCTCTTCAGAAGCTCTTCAGAGGCTCTGCAGAGGCTCTGCAACAAGGAAACCAATGTACAGAACGGCTGGGTACCCTCTGCGCGCCCCGCGACCTCCCCGAATGCGACGATGAATGAGCTTGCAGGGCAGCGCAAGTAAAGGACACAAGGGCACCCTGCTGCGAGGGGGCGACCTCGAATCAACGCGTCGTTGGTTCACAAGCGGCGCGCCCGAACTCAGAGGACATCGCAGATAGACCCTTCGCCGCGGCGCCAGCGGCGCGGCGCTGAAACCATAATCACACCTTGAAGCCACATGAGCCCCCAAACCCGAGAGGACGCCAGGGTACCCTAGACAGGGGCCGCGACCTTCCGCCGGCGCGACGCGCTCAGACCGCCGCGGGCCAAGGCACCGACACCCGCGGAAACCACAGGACGCAATGGTACCCTGCCCTTCGGCCGCAGAGGACACGACGCGCGATGCACAGGACACAAGAGTACCCTTGATTTCGCAGGGCCGACCTACTACTGGAACCCGACTGTACACGCATACATGCATGCCTTCATGCATGCATAAGCATATATACATGTGTGCATGTAAATGTACATACATACATCTGTGTCTACACATATACATGGGTACATCCACCCATACATTATCCATAACATCATCGACTCATTAATCCGTCCATACATGGATACACACATACATACATACACATATGCTAACATGTGTACATGCATGAATACACATATACATACATACATACATACATACATACATACATACATACATACGTACGTACGTACGTACGTACGTACATACGTACATACATACATACATATATACATACATGCATGCATGCATGCATGCATACACGCATGCATGCATACATACATACATACATACATACATACATGCATGCATGCATGCATACACACATACATACATACATACATACACATACATACATACATACATACATACATACATGCATGCATACATACATACATGCATACATACATACATACACATACATACAGCATGCATACATGCATACATGCATACATGCATGCATGCATACATGCATACATGCATACATGCAATACATGCAATACATGCAATACATGCATACATGCATACATGCATGCATGCATAGACACATACACATGGGAGATAACAACATGCACGTGTATCAATGAGATGTTGAGTTCGAGTCGGGAGGGTGGGGCGCTGTAACTGTCTGTCCTCAAGCATTTGTCGGGGCCAGGGCCCCAGGTGGCTCGCGGCCACACCTGTCGCGCCCCCAGCCCAGGGGGCCAGATGGCGAGCTGCTGAGGGCTCGCCCACCACGGGAGATGAAGCCGAGCCTGGCATCCAGGCGGGCGGTGACGGAGGGCTCGCCCCCCACGGGTGATGAGAGCCGAGCCACACCCGCGGTGGATCGGCCAATCCAGAGAAGCGCGACGTGTCGACCGCGATCATGGCATGTCGCCGAGCGGTCCGTGACGGCGGTGCTGCCGACTCACTAGTGGAAGAGATCGAGATAGTGACCGCCGCGGCCAAGCCTCTCGCCAGATGACTCACGCTGAAGGTCCCCCTGGAGGTGGACCACTTCGGCGACATGCTGTGGGAGGCCTACCACGGAGCGGCCAAGGGCACGGGCTGCGCCGACAAGCTGAAGCTGCTGCCCGACGACCTGGAGGCCTGGGATATGGCACAGTCACTGCGGTCGCAGGTGATCGGAGAGGACCCCCAGGGACGACCGCCATCCTTCTACGAGAAGCTTGTCTGCTGGGCGTGCGCCGGGGCCGTGGCCGCCTTCGGTGTGGTCCTGGGGGCGGAGGCGGGACGCACCCGTCTCCCGGGCTACTTGACCATGGCTGGATGCTTGATGGCGATGGCCCGGGGCGGCTGGCGGAGCGCCCACACGCGCTGGCGCATGTGGTGCCGGCGCCGGGCCTTATCGGGCCTTCCAGGCCGCCATGGACCGGGCCGCGGAGCGCGGGGACGTGAGCGAGAGCGACGGCACGACCAAGCCCTCCAGGCTGGCGGGGTCCGCCGAAGGCCAGGAGTCCCGAGCCCGAGCCGAGCTGCGGGCGGAGAACGAGCGGCTGCGCATGGGCGTGCCGTCGGCCGCGGGCCAGACCGCGCCTGAGCCGCCGCCGCCCTCTCCCCCCACCGCTGCCGCCGCCCGCAAAACCGCCCAGGATAGCTCCCGCGCCTGCGGCAAGCGGGTCGGTGGAGGCGTTCCAAGACCTCGTGGGGGACCGAGCGCCCGAGGGGCCGCTCTCGTGGACCGCCGCGGGAGCTGCAGCGGATGGCGCAGGCGTGTACGCTCCCGTCGCCCAGGGCTACCAGTCGAAGGTGAAGGCGCAGGCGGTGCGAATGCAGGAGGCGTTGATGACGGCGAGTGCACAGCAGTCCACCAACCCATACTGGGCGTGTTCTTTCTGGCAGTGGGTGGCGGAGGCCCACAAGACGGAGCCGTTCGAGCAGGAGGTCACGCAGTTGCTGATGTCTCGCGGCAATGTAGGACCCGCAACCCGATCGCCGCCGCGTGAGTCACTGAGAAGCGAGCTGGAGCTGGCGGCGTTGCACGCGAAGCCTGTCAAAGGCATGGGTGCGCTGGGAGGGGACAGCTTGTTCGCTCAGGGTGCGTTCGGCCTCGCCCAGGACCAGCTGGCCAGGTGGAACGCGAGCCTCCCGCCCGATCTGAAGAAGGCCGCTCCCGAGATTTACCGATCCATGAGAAGCGCAGGGGCGGCCTCAGCGCGGGACTGGCTGGCGCAGAAGTACACTGGCAATAAGAGCGCACAGTTGTTGACTGATCTCTGGAACGCCGCCACGTCCATAGATTTCGCCACGGCCCGAGCCAAGTCACAGGTGGAGCTGCTCCACCTGTTGGCCAGCGACGACGGGCTGGAGATGAACCTCAAGAGAATCGCGAGCTACGTGTACGACAAGCGGACGGGCGACCAATCAGGCGCCCAAAAGATGCTCGCCATCCCCCCTCCCGGGGCCGGGGTCGACATGGCCCCGACCTGGCTCGTCACTGAGGCCACGGCCCATTGGAAGATGGAGCATCAGAGGGCTGAAAGGGTCGAGGCGGCCAATCATCCCCAGGGAGGTCGTGGAGCTGGACGTGGTGGCGGGGGCGGTGCTGGGCGAGGACCAGGACGAGGACACGGTGGAGGACTTGAGGGAGCAGCCGACGGAGGTGGCGGCTCCGGTGCAGCCCGTGGTGGAGCACGGGGAGGTGGTCCTGTGGCCGAGGCCCGCAAGGGCGCGGCCGCCCCCAGGGCTGACGACGCGCAGGGGGCCAGGGGAGCACCTCGAGCCCTCCCCTGGCGCCCCGCCAGGCACCCCAGCTGTGGGCGCCCGTGGGCCACCGAGCCCAAGCTCGTTCCTTGGGCGCTGAGTTCTTCCAGAACCTGCCGGCGATGGAGGACGCTCTGTGTCCCGTACCTCTACAAGCACGACCTCTTCATCGCGGAGGCTGCCGCAGCGGCCGCCTCCGCACCCGCGTGGCGCGACGCAGGAGAGGGCCGACCACGGCCTGGCTGGAGGAGAGGCCCTGCCGCAGGTAGTGGTGCCAGCGGACCACTGGGAGATCGCCGCGTTTGACAATAACAACGCTTTCACCAGGATCCGTGTGCTACCGTGGCACACCCGCTGGAAAGCCACCCCGCCGCTGAAGGCCTGGCGCGCGTGGCATCTGCTGTCCCCAGAGACGCAACAGGAGGTCACGGAACTGGGGTGGTTTGCGCCACTCTACCACCGCCTGGCCATGGGCCATGGGCGGCCCCCACTCGGTGCACATCCTGATGTCCATCAACCTCACCACGGTGGGCCAGACGCTCACGGGCGTGCGTGCGGGCCCGCCTGGCACAGGGCCTCGGCGGCAGTGAGCCGCGCATCCTGGGCGAATGTGGCCAGTGCGGTGAGGGCGGCTCCGCGGACCTGGGCGTGGACGACGAGACGTGGGTGAAGCAGAACGATGCGGCAAGTCGATGGGCGCAGGGCAGTCGGGCTACACTGTGGCAGGTTGGGCCCGTGCCACCCGTGAGGCTCGGCGTCGCGACGGCCGCGTGTTCGTGGTCATGCACCTGTTCGCATCTGTTCGCTGGCGAGCGGCGGAGCGACGACGTGCAGGCGTACAGTCGGACTTCATTGGACAGGACACGCGAGAGGACACAAGACCCTTCCGAGGGCCACATTGCCATAGGAGTGTAAGAAAGCACGTGTCGCGAGGCACAGAACACAAAAGTGCCCTTGAGCTGGCAGGTTCGACCTACTAATCTGGGCCGGCTGTAGCTGGAACCATGCTGCGAGGAGGCCGGCCTGGAGCTGCTGTTCCTTTCCGCGGACCTGGCGACGGATGCGGCCTGGGACATGACCAAGCCCGACACGTTCGACGAGCTGATGAGCTTGTGCGAGGGCAGCTTCGTCGACGTCGTCCTGGGAGGCCCTCCGTGCTCTACCTTCTCGCGGGTGCGCAACAGCCGCCCAGGACAGGGACCTCGACCAACACGTCGGCGCGGACGTTGGGCCCGGGGCTTGCCTGACCTCGAACCCTGGGAGCAACGCCGCGTCCTCGAGACCAACGTGCTCGCGGTGAACCTCGTGGCCATGTGCGAAGCGGTCGCCATGAACGGGGGCTGTCACCTCGTGGAGCACCCGGAGGACCCAGGGGGTTTTCGTTTCCCGTCGCTGTGGGACACCCCGGACATGAAGCATGAAGGCGCTGGAGGAGAGGACGGCGGCCACTCGAGCCCTGTTCGACCAGTGCCAGTTCGGCGGCCTGGCCAACGAGGCCACCTGCATGTCGGGCACGCTGCAAGGCCTGGACAGCTTGAACGGCGTGAGGCGTGCAGGGGGCCACGTGCATGCGCGGTCCGACAGGAAGGATAGCCTCGGAGAGTTCGACGCCAGCCGTCTGCAAACGTACCCCGGAGCGCTCTGCGACAAGATAGCCGCCATGGTCTTTGACACGCTGCAATGGCTTCGCGCCGAGAACGCCGGGCCCGCCAGTGGACAGGTCCCCGGTGGCGCCAGGCCCAGGGTCTCAGCTTGGGGTGAGGGGTGTTCTCTCCACCAGGCGGTGGCCATTCGGAATGAAGACGCAGCGTGAGGACGAGGGCTGGTCCTACGTCAGCGGCAGCTGGGTTTATACCTACACGTGGACGACGGCGCGTGCATGGGCTCGGGCGAACACCCGCGGGCCGCGGACACCCTGATGGAGCAGCTTGCCGACGAGCTGGAAGCAATGGGTTTCGTCGCGGACGATCGCACCCCAGCGGAGGAGCTGACAAAAGTGGTGGGCTACGAGGTGATCAAGCGGTCGGCCAGCCTGAGGCCGCCCCAGAAGAAGAGCTATCGTTCAGGGGCTGGAGCGGCTGTCGAGGGCCAAATGGGTCTACGCCGACGACTTGCGCTCTATTGTGGGATCTTGGGTGTGGGGAGCTCTGCTCAGGAGGGACTTGGTCGGCATCCCCTCCGCGGCGTTCAAATTCCTCGACCTGTTCCCAGAGCGATGGGCCCGCGCGCGGCTTTCGGTCCGACGCGAGCTGCGGGCCATGGCCAGGGCCGTCCTCTTCATGATCGCCGACGTCGGGGCGCCGCTGGCGAACGCGTTTTTCGCCTCTGACGCCATGGGGGCCTCGGAGCTCGACAGCGGCGGGTACGTCATTGTCGCGGGGGACGTCTCCGACAAAGTGAAGTTCGAGTCCGTGGATGCTGCAGTGCCAGTGGGGTTCACAGTGGCCAAGCTGGACGGCAACTTCGCGGGCTTGAAGGACCCCGAGAAGGACATCAGGCGCACCATGCCGTTTACCGAGTCACCTTAGGAGTTGTTCAAAGGACAGGTTGACTGGAAGGTGGTGGAGCACGGCCGCTGGGCCCGCGCAGACCATATCACCTTGGGAGAAGGCCGAGCAGTGGCGAGGCTGGCGCGCAGGCTGGCCCTCGCGCCCAAGATGCACAAGTCAATGATCTTCTCGCTGCAGGACTACAGGCCCGTGGCAGGAGCCATGATGAAGGGGCGTTCTCCGGCTTTCGAAGTCAAACGTCCACTGCGTCAAGAAGCCGCCGCCTGCCTGGCGGCCAGGATTCGACTCGTCATCCCGTGGATCGAGACCAGCACGCAGCCTGCTGATTGGGTCTCTCGTTGATTGGTGCAGATGAACAAGGGGCGGAGCGGAGTGACGGGACCGCGTCGCCTCGACCCGCATCAGCTTAGCACGATCACCCCAGCGACGCTCGCTAGATATCGGGCCGCTGGGAAGCCATTTTCCACGTGGCTGGAGGAGTGCAACTTCCAGCCTGACTGCGCCGAGGCCTGGGGCGATCTACTTGTAGAGTTCAAGAATGAAGCAGGTCCCTCGTGCAGCCAATTCGCGCATCTGCAGGCGAGCGTGGAGTTTTGTTCTCCGAGATTCAAGGGGCGCCCACACCGGGCGAGGGCCGTGCTGGCGGGCTGGGCAGTGAATACACCGACAATGCATGCGGCGCCGCTCGGCCGAGGACCCGCTGTCCTCATCGGGTCACAGTGGGCTAGCCAGGGCCATTTTCGCTAGGGAGTGGGCATCCTCCTGCAATGCAGACGTGGACTTCGACCTTCAGAGATGCTGAAACTGCGGCCCGCGGACGTCGCAGTGTAGTCGTGGTCGGGAGGAGCATCGCTGCAACGTAACATTGCCATCGCCTTGGGCCCCCGCGCGGGAACCAAGGCAAAGAGAGCGCAGTGCGTCATCATGCGCGAGAAATTGGTGGCAAACCTACCTACCTCGCTTTTGACCACCCTCGCTTCCAAGAGATACCAAGCGATGCCAAACCACGGCCTGTACTGGTCAGGCCGCTTGACGAGGAGGCGCGTGGTATGACTTGGTTTTGCCTGGAAGCGAAAGCGGGGTAGGTAATTCACGCTCTGAAAAGAGAGCGCAGTGCGTCATCATGCGCGAGAAAGAAAAGGTTCTCGTCCGTCTCGTGTCTCGCCTCGCTGCCGCCGCGCCGACCTCGGCCTGTCGTGTCCCATGCTCGATCGACCGCTACCGCCGCGTGCTCGAGGTTGCTGAAGGGAGCTTGGGCGCGCCGCCGGATGCTGCTCGAGCAAGGTCCGCATCCGACTCGATGGCGGACGGGGCGTCCTTCGCCGAGATCAAGGAAACGGGCAGGCGGATTTCAGAGCTCCACAAGCATCTACATCGACGCAGTGGCCGCCAGCGACGTCATCGCCAGGTGCGAAGGCGCAGGGCTGTCGCCGGCGATCATCTGGGCCCACAGCAAACTCGAGCAGTACTTCCCGGAGGGCTGTTTCGATGCCGCCGACGGGCCGGCAGAAGGAGGAGGGCGTCTCCGCGCCGCCCCTCCCGCAGGTGGAGCCACGCCCGAGTCGGGCATCGACGCCGCGACCCTCCGCGGGCCCATCGGCGACGGCAGCGCCCCGACCCCCCCCCAGTTGACGAACCAACAACACACACCCATACCCAAAGGGGATCGGAGAGGGCTATGGGTGCGTGTTGTCGGATGGGGGTCCCCGCTCGAACGGGAGCGTTCCCCAGGGTCCGACAACCCGCACCCATACACATAGCCAGTCCTCCTTCCAACGACTTCCCTATGGGTATGGATGTGTGTTGTTCGTTCGTCACCAGTGGCGGATCCGCCAGCAGCGCCGCCCCAGGAGGCGGCAGAGGCCTGGGAGGTGCTGCCGGCCGCGGCCGAGGCCCAGGCCCGCGGGGCGACGGGCATGCCGGCGCTGGCGCAGGCGGCCGCAGGGGCCGCGGCCGGGGCCGCCCCGCGCGCGGCCCCGAAGCGCTCGGCCGCGGCCCGCCCGAGCGAGGCCAGGGCCCGGGTTGGGCGCGCGCGGCGCGGGGGCGGAGCTGGACTGGCCGCGGCCGTGCCGGCCAGAGGAGGCGCAGCCGCGACCGTGCTCGTCCTCGCCTCCCGGTTGGGACTGGGGCCCCCTGCACGCGTCTCAGCGGTGCTGGGCTCCGTGGCCTCGGTCACCGAGTCCGCCAGCTCGGTGATGAGCTCAGGTTTTCAGGCAGCCTCTTCGATGACCTCATCAGCTTCGACGTTTTTCCTCGGAGTGACCAAGTCGCCCCAATCTACCTCGCAGGAGGCCTGGCGCGGAGTGGGCGTCTACAGCGTATCCGTGACGGCCTGGCAGCGCCGCGCGGTGGCCGACGACGGCGACGTGCTGGTTTCCTGGTTGGAAGACTCCATGGGTGACGCGGTGCTCGTGCTGTCCAGCTCGGAGAAGGCCGTGCTGACCCAGGCGGCCCTGCCCCTGACCCTGAGGCAGCCGCTGATAGCGGGCTCCAATCGTGCGCTGTCATGGCCAGGTTCATTCCGTGTTTTCAATATCGAGGCCGTCATCCTAGACGCAGGCCACTCAGGCATCTAGTGGACCGTAGCTGATGCACGTTTCGAATGCGCTTTAGTGAACCCTCTCTGGCCCGCACTCGAGCTGGATCCAAGTACTGAGCATGAGCAGATCTCTGAGGCCCTCAATAAATTGCTTGCCCGACTCCCTTTCGCTCTCCCCGACTGGCAAACCCAGCAAGGCCCCGTGGCCCCAATCTTTGTCTTTGGAGGCCTCGACGCTCGGGTCCGCAGGGCGTCTCGGCAGCTCGTGATCGCGTTCCAATGTTTAGGGCATGTCGCCCTCGCCGTGCCCGAATATGGTTTCTCAATTCGTTGATGACTCTCGCAGGGGCGGACACGGGCTGACTTCAATTTGTGTCGGATGTGAGTTTGTGCGATCGCGAGCCGGGGAAGGGCCTCTCTTTCAGTGGCGTGCGTTCCCTCGTCCGCCTACTGTGTGATAGACGGGCTCATGCAAGCGTGATCTGTTTAAGACATCCGAAGATGCAAACTGTGAACAATCTCGCGTCCGAAAAACATCGAAAACGAGTCAGCCAACGTGTAGGTCCAGTCTTCGTTCCAGTTGCAGGCAGTCTTTGGGAATCCGCCGACCCTGTCGGCGTGTGTGAGGGGCTTTTCCGTTCGAGCCGTCATCTCCGTCATTCTTTGTACTCGTCGTCTCTGTCCTTCCCTTTCCCTGGGAGACCTCTTCCCCTGGGCTCCAGCCAAGCCGACCTTGAGCAACCTCGTAATTGAGTCGAAGGGAAGCCCCTTCCCTTTGATCCCTCCCCCGCCGGGAGGGGGGGGGGGGGTCGACCCCCCCCGGGTCAGATACGACGCCCCCCCCTGGGACTCCTCTTCCCCTGGGCTCCAGCCAAGCCGACCTTGAGCAACCTCGTACGAAGGGAAGCCCCTTCCCTTTGATCCCTCCCCGCCGGAGGGGGGGGGGGGTGTCGACCCCCCCCTCAGATACGACGCCCCCCCTGGGACTCCTCTTCCCCTGGGCTCCAGCCAAGCCGACCTTGAGCAACCTCGTAATTGAGTCGAAGGGAAGCCCCTTCCCTTTGATCCCTCCCCCGCCGGGAGGGGGGGGGGGGTGTCGACCCCCCCCCCGGGTCAGATACGACGCCCCCCCCTGGGACTCCTCTTCCCCTGGGCTCCAGCCAAGCCGACCTTGAGCAACCTCGTAATTGAGTCGAAGGGAAGCCCCTTCCCTTTGATCCCTCCCCCGCCGGGAGGGGGGGGGGGGTGTCGACCCCCCCCCGGGTCAGATACGACGCCCCCCCCTGGGACTCCTCTTCCCCTGGGCTCCAGCCAAGCCGACCTTGAGCAACCTCGTAATTGAGTCGAAGCCAAGCCGACCTTGAGCAACCTCGTAATTGAGTCGAAGGGAAGCCCCTTCCCTTTGATCCCTCCCCCGCCGGGAGGGGGGGGGGGTGTCGACCCCCCCCCCGGGTCAGATACGACGCCCCCCCCTGGGACTCCTCTTCCCCTGGGCTCCAGCCAAGCCGACCTTGAGCAACCTCGTAATTGAGTCGAAGGGAAGCCCCTTCCCTTTGATCCCTCCCCCGCCGGGAGGGGGGGGGGGTGCGACCCCCCCCCCGGGTCAGATACGACGCCCCCCCCTGGGACTCCTCTTCCCCTGGGCTCCAGCCAAGCCGACCTTGAGCAACCTCGTAATTGAGTCGAAGGGAAGCCCCTTCCCTTTGATCCCTCCCCCGCCGGGAGGGGGGGGGGGGTAGCGACCCCCCCCCCGGGTCAGATACGACGCCCCCCCCTGGGACTCCTCTTCCCCTGGGCTCCAGCCAAGCCGACCTTGAGCAACCTCGTAATCTCTCGCTGCGCATTGCGACCAGGGTCGGCGGCACCGGCCGTCAGGCCTTCGCAATATCATAACTCTGAAAGCGCATGGTAGATGTCAATGATAAAACTGCTTATCACATCCACGGCCACGCGCGGGCCACGAGCTATCTGCGGGGGCGCTAGGCGCCCAGTACAACAAGCTCTAAAGGCCGGCCTTGCGGGCCGAGACGGGCAGCGGGCAGCGGGCAGCGGGCGAGGTGGCAGAGGCAGGTGCACTCAGAGGGGGAAGTAGACGAGGCACAGGTAGGAGAGGGCCAGGGCTAGGCGGGCTCCAGAGGGGTCCTCGGGCACACCTCCAGGGAATCTCAGACTCATTATTTTCTTTTGTAGCTCTGACCATCTCAGTCATCCTGCAAGTCTTCCTCTCGAACTCCAGCGGCCGAACGTTCACGTCGTAGTCGATCAGCCTCAGCTCGATCGGGTTTAGCAGCTGACTTCCGTGCGGCTCGCTGTGATCTCTTCTTCTCCTTTATCCTTACTGCAGCTTGGTCCTGCTGGATCGTAATCTGATTCGTCCTCAAGTAATGTCGGAAATGCTCCAGATCAACTCCCTCTTTCGTAAGAATACCCGCCAGATTCTGCAAGCCGTCCACCCACCGTAGTGTCGTGTTTGGTTGCCTCAAAGCCTCTTTCACTAAAGCTCCTTCTATTGCCATCCGCTTGTCTCGGCTAAGGCCTGATCCTTCTTTCGTCAAATAATCATGCACTGACTTGGCATCAGTCAAGAAAACTCTGCTTCTTCTCGCCACGATCTTCTGCCAATCCTTCAAATTGATCTTCGGGTTGAACACCTCCTCCAGTAAAACACACAGCCATTCACCAGCCTCCAGTGAGTCCGCAAGATGTGAGGCTTCAGCTGCAAGTGTGCTCCGGCAAACTCTCTGTGTCGACTTGGAACTGTAATCCATCAGAGCTGCTGTCACCAGCTTCCCAGACAACACATCGTGGTCCACTATGAAGAGAAAATGACCACCGATGCTCTTGTATCTCGCGATCTCGTCACTCTCGGGGTTGCCGTTCGCGCGTCCTGAATCACATTCAATCAAAACCGTAGCTCTGCTGAGGTCGATGCCCTTCGGGAACTTCTGCATGTAGTCGACGCCTCTCTTGCCGTCGTTGATGGCCCTGTTGACCTTCACGAGGTCGGCGATGCACGGCGCTACCATGGCTCGTTGTGCTTGTCCCGCTTGAAAGGCTAGATCTGCTCGAAGCTGCGTGACAACCAAGATATCTCTCCCGTAGCCTTCCGTAGCCGTGTCACTTCGTCGTCGGTAAGCGGGCTCGTCAGCTCCTTCTTTCGGTCTCGAGGAATCGGAACCGTCTTCATGTTCAGCGAGTAGCCCTTCATCGTTACTCCAACATCGCCGTTCGGTAAACGTTGTATCTCGCGTCCTCCGAACACAAAATCCTCTTTGAGCCATTTCGAGAGATTCAGCTTCTGTCTCGTGCGTCTGAAGGCCGTATCTTCGTTTTTCTTTTAAACTCCAGCTAACAAATCATCCACATGAGTACATAGAATACCAACCAAAACGCCTGCCTTGTCTCGTAAGTAAAACAAAGCTGGTTCCAAAACAGACTGAACCCATCCGTCCTTCTCCAATACTTCGCAGAAAGCCAACCAAACTAAACGAGCAGCCTCAGCAAATCCATATATCGCCTTCTTGGCCCTCAATAGTTGCCTCGGATGCAGCCCCTTCAAAACACCATTGCCTCCGCCAACTTCGATGCTGTTGGCGCATCTCTTCGATACTCGCCGAGGCTCTTGTCCTTGAAGCCTTGGACCACCATCCTCGACTTCGCTTCGAACTCGGCGTCCAGAACGCCCTCACTCTTGTTGGTTCTCACCCACTCGGCCAGTATGATCAGGTCGCGCTTGGTCTCCCAGATCTGCTCACTCTCGCCGAGGCTCAGCGTGTCGCAAGCATCCAGATCTTGCCAGGCTTCCACTCCTTCTCATCTGAACCTCCAGGTCCGATAAATAACTGTCGCTTTGCCTCGTCAAGCTCCTTCAAGTGTACCTCTTTTCTCCCCTTCTTCGCCACTGTCGGACCAGCCTCGTAGGAGTACTCGAACTCGTTGCGCTCAACGCCAAAAACGAAAACCTCCTTGCTGACCTCGTGCTCGGCGTAGAAGGACTGATTGATGTCATATGCGAGTTAAGCCTCGTCGATCATAGAGTCCATATCCTCGTAGACCTGAAAGGCGTCGTCTGTCTTGATCGACTCGGGGACATCATCCAGCAACTTCTGTCTCTTCGCCCCCCGCTCTGCAGCTTCCTCCGCTGGCCGACTCTCCTTATCCCTACTGGCAGATCCCTCCGCCGGGCGAGGCGGGAACGATGCCGCAGGAGTGTGGAAATCATCAAGATCAGGATCCCGCTCGTCGCCCATCGGTACTTGGTTGGATCGTACAGCCTCGTTGACAAAGTCCTTCACCGCGTCCTCCGCTTGTGTCGCTCCTCGTGGCTCGACTGGCGGCGGTGGTCCCAGCTGCATCATCGGGGGCTCCTCCTGGTAGGGGTCCTCCGTCACCTCCTCCACGGGCGGCTCCTCCTCTTGGACCAGTGGCTCGGCAGGTGCTTCACGCTCTGCCGGCTGCGGCACCTCTGGGGGCGGTGCCTCTGGCGGTGGCTGAGCCGCCGCTGGTTCTGGTCGAACTGGTCCTCCATCTTCCCGAAACTCTGGGGGAAAAGGCCGTCGTCGTAGATCGATAAATCCACTGCCTCCAGCCGCCCCGGTGGTGTCTATCAAGTCTGCCTCCTGCGCCGTCACCAGCCAGGCTCGGACCTCCTCGTCGGAAGCCCTGGCAAGGTGCTCGGGAGCGCAGGCGATCGTGATCCCGCGGTGCACGATCCAGATCGTGTGCTTGCCCTCGTGACCTATCACGCGGGCTACTCCTCTCCAGTTGACGACGCTCTCGGGCCGCTTGCCCTGCTCCTTCTGGTCGTAGTAGAAAACCCAGTCGCCCACGTTGAAAGGTCCTCGTTCTGGTCGAACTTGTCGAAGCTCAGCCCTCTTGATCGCTTCCTCGTTGGCGATCTTCGCGTGGGCCTCCCGCGCCGCCTGCCGCAGCGCGCACTTCCTGGCAAACTTCGATGTCGGGGTAGCCGATGCCGCAATGGCACCGATCCTCTCATCAAGCTCGCCGTCGTCCATGAAGTCCGCCGGGAGGCGACTATCTCTTCCCAGCACCCACTGCGCCGGTGAGAAACCAGACCTCCTGCTCAGCGAGTTCTTCGCCTGGTTGATCTCCATCACGGCCTTCAGGACGTCCTCGCGCCCAGCGACCTGCTTCGCCCAGACGACTCTCCTCCACATGGCTTGCCAGGTCTCCATGACGCTCGACCTTGGCGATATGCCATGCTGCCGCCTTGGCGGCCGAATCAAATCTGCACCCACGACTCGACATGTGCTCAGAAAAACTGCCCAGGAAGCCCTTGGCCCTGTCGACGATGACTCCGACCTCAGGCTCACCAGCCCAGGATGCCCAGCACAACTCGTAAGTCTCCAGCACCGTGGTTGAGCCCGTCATCCTGTGAACTTCGCCGAGTAAAGCAACCACCTGGAACGAACAGTCCAAGCATGCAATATTCAGAAACTGCCACTCTGCTTGGTCCGCGTCCTTCTCAGCAAAGGTGTCGAAGCCCACGACAACGTTGATCTCGTCGACGCTCGGCAACTTGCTCGGCTTCGCCAGCAACGGTCGCCTCGTGCGTTCACAGTGCTCACAGGAGAAAAGCCTGCACGCCTTGATCGCGGCCTCCGAGGCTCTGGAAATCCTCAAGGCCCTTAGCATCTCGATCTTGGGCGCGTGGCCGAGGTTCTCGTGCAAGCGTCGAATCGCCACCTTCAGGTCGCGTGGTAGCTGATCCCATCGTTGCTTCCTCATAGTCTCCTTATCTTGCTCGCCGTCCTCTGCCTCGCCGATCTGCGCGCCGTACACCATGATGAGTAGGTCGGCCCCGGCGATCTTCATCACCCGCTGCTGCGATGACAAGTTGGTCCAATCCTCCCAGCCGAGCTCGGACCACACGCCACGCTTGGACCGAGCGTAGGCAGTCCGCAGAAGTGCCTGAGAAGCATGCAAGTGGGGCACCGCTGTGAGCAGAGAACGTGGGTTCCGTCGTATCATAATCAGCTTCACGCTGGCGGACGCCTCCTCAAGCTTGGCAATCTCAGCGGCCCTCTTGTCCACTGAAGGCCACAGCAAGGTGAGGGGCGTGAGGAAGCCGACGAAACTACTGAAAATCTCCATCACCTTGTCGACCTTCTCCTTGGCCATGCTGAGCCAGCCGCCCTTGCGTGTAACTCTCCGCCTTAGTCCGCCTGTCCCTCCGAGTAGCTTTGCTCCTCGCCGAGCCCTCTTGGGGGGCGGCTCGGTGTCCACCCCATCATCCACAGGGAAGCTCGACTCCATGTATCCGTTGGCGAGTGCGACGGCGCTGTCGATCTCCATCTGCTGCTTCACTCCTTCGCAGATCGCCGTCGCCATCCTCGGAGGGTAGGCCGCTGCCTGAGCTGCTCTCTTCCCGGCGGAGCTGTTGCCCCCCACCATCTCGTGAGCAGTCTGGCACTTGCATGGGGCAGCCAGCTTGTTAAGAACGCACTGGCTGTTTGTGAGGTAGCCGGTCAGCTTCTGGATGGGCTTGCCGCTGTCGATGTCCTTCTTGCCGAAACCACACTGAGCTCCACAGGCGAACCAGACATTCGGCAGCGCGTAGATCTCGGCCAAGATGTTCTTGTACTTCCAGGAAGCTGCTGACCATGGCTGTTCTGCTAGAAAATATCGCTGCCTTTCGTAACGGTGTAAGCAGATGCGCTTCACCAACTTGAGCACTCGAACTCCGTAAGTCCTTCGCAGAGTCCCCCAATCCACCGTCGGGCTCATGTTCGCCATAACTGACCATATGCGGCAGTCGAAGGCGGTGATCGTGAGGTACGGGTCGTGCTCGTCGAGGATCTCGAAGAGCAAGTCCTCGCCTTCCTTGGTCATCAGGTCGCAGTCGTCTAACTTGTCCAGCGGTTGCGAATTCGTCCAACCGAAAACTCCTGATGCCACTCTCGCAACGATAAAGCTGCCGCCCCAAGGTTCGAAGATCATCGTCTTCTTGAACCCTGATGTGGCCATCCTCTCTGCGAGCGTGTACTCCTTCTTGAGCGTAGCCCAAGTCCGCTTCTCCTCAGCCGCTATCCTCGAAGCTGTAGTTGACAACTCCTGTGCTCTTCGACTGGTGAGCTCGCCTCTCGTATCTGACTTGCGCACACCTCTCGCTGCCAAGGATATCTCCAACTTCTGGCCAGTCTCATCATTCGAGCTCGCGCCCTGGCGACGAATTGCATCTATCTCGACAGTGTCGCAAGTCTCCTCATCGTTGCAATCGTCGTTCTCCAGATAGGCATAGCCATCCTTGACCACGCCCTTGCACGTCGCAAGGTGCACGATCGCGTCGCCCCGGGATGACTTGAGCTCCATGCGCTGTAGTACCGAATCTTGGTCATCTCCGAACTGCGATACATCGATACCCAGGTGTGTCGTATTCTTGATCTTGGTCAGAGGTACTGTGATTCCCAATGCCGAAAGCTCCAATTTCTTTGACTTCATGTGAATGTGGCCGTCTAACATGTCCAGGGCAGGTATGGAGATCAACAGTGGAGTCGTCCCAGTCGGGATCTCGGTCGAATGCGCCTCTCCTCTGAATCCTCCAATGCCGATCGGGATCACGTAGACGTCACCCTGCTGCTTGGAGCCGCTCGCGAAGGTGAACTTCCGCTGGATGTCCGTCTTCCTGCAGGTAAGGTCGGGGGGTAAGTGCTTCTCAAACCTCTCCCTCCAGCTCTTGCTGTGCATACAAAGGGCACAGGCGGTGTCCACAAGGGCCACCACGTCGTAATTAATTGTAGTGCAGTCAGCGCGCCCCACGGCGAAGGTGAACTGTGAGTGTGTCCCAGCCTGCTACCGCTAACCTGGCCCCCGGCATTGAACAGGGCGAGGCTCTGCGGGTCGAGCTGCACAGCGGCGAGCTCGTCGGGCGATGCCAAAATGGCTGCCCACGTCCTTGACCTAAGAGGCTCCTCAAGACGGCTTATGCGTCCTTGACTGAGGGACGTCGAGCCCCCTCCACGGCCCTGCCCTTGCTTAGCGTCGAAACGAACGGCCCGAAGGGCCGCCGTCGCGTAGCATCTGGTGATGGCGTTGAAGTTCAGGCATCCGTAGAACTTGTTGCCGTCCAGGTTGTTGCTCTTCACTTGCATGCCCTGGCGGCGGCACTTCGGACTGGTCAGCTGCTCGATGAACGTGTTGTCGTCGTTCACAAGCTCCCAGGATGTGGACGCTCTTGATGATGTAGCTGCTGCATTAGGCCTTGCGCCCAGTGACTTGGCGCCAATCTCCGTCTGCTGCTTCGAGATGTTCGGCTTGGTCAGCGGGACCTTTGCGTTCTTCTCCAGATCCTGACGCTGCTTCGCCTGCTGGTAGGCCTGCATTTCGGCGTAGAGCGGGCAAAGCTTGTCTCCTCCGCGATGTCCATACTTGCCGCAGTCCGCGCACTTGATGTTCTCGCCCGGTGCTCTCGTCGAAGTCCCGTCCGCGAACGCTGCTGCGGTCCTCGAAACACTGCACCCCTTCTTGACCTGCGCCTTGCCCGAGTAGTGTCCCTCGAGCCTCTCGATCAGGATCTCCTTCTTGCCGTTGGTCTGGAGCCCGAGCTCGCCGAGGTGACTCTTGAGCTCGCACTGCTTCCAGGCCCTGAAATCTGGCGTGGTCGGGATGTCCTTCGGTGCTGCCGACGGCCTCGGGGCCGCCTCTCCACTGCTTGCCGCTCCTGCCGACTTCTTCCTGTCCTTGTCGTAGTCCCTGCTGTGGTAGCTGTCGTCTGCACGCTCGTCGTCTGGCTCCTCATCCGAGTCCGTGTAGAATGAATCCTGCTCCTCGACCGCCCCGTCGCGGTCGCCCGAGACGTCGTCGCCGCGCGCCATGAAGGAGGTCACCTCTTCCATCAGCTCGTCCTCGTCCGTGGTGCCGTCGAGCGTGAAGTACGACTTGCCTCCGCGCCCAGGCTTAGCCTTGGGTTTGCCGCTCCCGCGGCCTCCGCCTCGTCCTCCACCGAACTTCTTGTCGCCTTGCTTCCCTGTCTTCGGGCACGCGGCATCTCCTGCCCAGTGTCCGATGCGACCGCGCGCTCCACAGCGCGTGCGCTTCTTTTCCTCCTTGATCTGCTCCTGACGCTCCTCGAAGGTCACCTCGCCCTTGAAGAGCCCGCGCTGCTTCTGCGTGTCCTTCAGCTTCTTCCTCGCCGCGTCGTAGGCGCTGTAGGCCTCGAACACATCGTCGTCGTTGCTGGCTCCGGCGTCGCTCGCAACCTCCTGGTCATCATCTGCCGCGTTGGCGCCCTCTTCGAACTCATCATCCGTAATGTCGTCCTCGTCGCCGCTGTTGTTGTCCTCGACCTGATTCGCCTTGCCTCCGCGCCGGTTCTGCCACTTCTGCTTGTGCGTGTTGGCCAGCGCGCTCCGTCTCTCTTTCTCGTGCAGGTCGTGGAAGTTGACTGTTAAAGTATGCTGAAATATCTCCAGGTTGTACTCCGAGTTGTTGTTGAGAACGATGTTGCGCTTCTGCTCGTCTGCGAGGTTCGCGCCGTTCAGCAGGAAGTATGCCATCAAATCGTCCGAAAGCGTGGTGTTCTCGTCGCGCTCCTGCAAATCCTCCCGCAGCTTCTCCTTGTTCGAGAAGTACTCGCCCATATCAGTGCCCCGCTTCCGGAAACTCCGCTTGAAGAAACTATCGAACGCCATGCCCTTTTTAACTATGGCCTCCTTGTCGAGCGTCGCCAGCGCCTCGAAGATCCGCCACTCTCCGCCATCAGCACGTACTTCTGCGGTCTCCTGTGCGAAGTGCTCTGCTCGACGCCATGCCCGTCCGTGTAGTCCGTCGAGCAACTTCACCCTGAATCTGCGCTTCTTCTTCTCGAGGCTCAGCGCGATTGCTTCTTCGTCATCTCCACTACCTTCCAACCGCGCCAGCGCCAGGGTAACTCTCTTCTTGTACTCCTTGAGCAAGTCCGGATTTTGTCCTGTGTAGTGAGGCAGCCCATCTCTATCCACAACTATCTCGTCATCACGGTCGTAAGACCGTCCAGCTCCCTGGTCGTTCATCTCACTGCTGTCGCTATTATTGGGCTCTGTGTTGGTCCTGGTGAACGTTCGGCCACGTCCACAATCTCGAAACCACCAGCTCCGCAATACCAGTCTGAAAGCGTATGGTAGATGTCAATGATAAAGCTGTTTATCACATCCACGGCCCCGCGCGGGCCACGAGCTATCTGCGGGGGCGCTAGGCGCCCAGTACAACAAGCTCTAAAGGCCGGCCTTGCGGGCCGAGACGGGCAGCGGGCAGCGGGCAGCGGGCGAGGAGGCAGAGGCAGGTGCACTCAGAGGGGAAAGTAGGCGAGGTACAGGTAGGAGAGGGTCAGGGCTAGGCGGGCTCCAGAGGGGTCCTCGGGTACACCTCCAGGGAATCTCAGAATAACTCTTGCCCTCCTGTGATCATTATGGGAGAGAGCAGCATGAACGTGTATGAATGAGATGTTGAGTTCGAGTCGAGAGTGTGGGGCCCTGCAACTGTCTGTCCTCAAGCACTTTTCGGGGCCCCCACCCGACCCACCCTGGGCCTCTCTTTCAGTGGTGTGCGTGCCCTTGTCCGGCTACTGTGTGATACACGGTCTCAGGCAAGCGTGATCTGTTTAAGATATCCGAAGAAACAAGCTGGGAACAATCTCGCGTCCGAAAAGGAGTCAGCCACCGTGTAGGTCCAGTCTTCGTTCCAGTTGCAGGCAGTCTTTGGGAACTTCCATAACTCTTGCCCTCCGATGATCATTGTATACACATGCACATGTATGGTTACACACATATACTCATGCAGCCATGCATACATACACATGCATGCATGCACGCACGGATGCATACCTACACACTGACATACATACATGCATGCATGCATGCATGCATACATACATGCATACGACCATACATACACATGCTGTCATTCACGGGTACACACATACACACATGCATGCATTCACACCTACATACATACAACCATACCTGCATACATGCATGCATACATACGTACATGCATGCATACATACGGCCACACATACAACCAGACAATCATGCGTACAATCGTACATACATGCGTACACATACATACATGTATACATACATGCATGCATGCATACATACACACCTGCATACAAACATACATACACACATACAACATCCGCAAACACATCCATCCATACATCCGTCCATACATGCATACGCACATACATACACACACCCTTACACGCATACATATCCACCGACCTACCTACCTGCAGATAGACATACATACATACAAACATACATAAGCACATACGCACATATATACATACATACATACATACATACATACATACATACATACATATATACATGCATGCATGCATGCATGCAGACAGACAGACAGACAGACAGACAGACAGACAGACAGACAGACAGACAGACAGACATAGGTACATACATACAGACATACATACAAACATATGTGTATATGCACGTGATATATATTTATAAATAAATAAATATAGAAATATAAATATATAAGATACAGAGAGGAGTCAGAGATAACAAGAGAGAGAAAGCGGAGGAGACGACAACGAGAACGCTGAACTTTCCCCGACTTGGCCTCCACCGCTAGAGAGGTGAGACATAGAGAAAGAAAGAGAGAGACAGAGAGAGGGAGAGAGAGAGAAAAAGAGAGAGAGAGAGAGGGCGAGATAACGAATGTATGTTTGTTCCGCTCCGACGGCGACCACGGGCATATGCAACTGCCAGTGTCCTGCCAGGCGAGGGCACGGGCGTACGTGAGATCAGCCTGCAGGCCCCCCTAATAGGCTTAGGTCGGGCCTGTCCCCCTACGGGGGATATTCGACGAAAAATAAAAATACTCCAAGGCCCCCCCAGAGAACAACAAAACACAGCAAAAGCGTGCCGATTCTAGAAGTAGGACGGCGCTTGAAATAGATTGGGACCTGGGGATCCAAAAATACCTACTTTCAACGACCGGCGTGTACGTGAGATCAGCCTGCAGGCCCCCCTACTGGGCCGCGCCGGCCAAGTCCTTGTACTGCGCTCCTTGCGCGCGTCAGCCGAGCAGGCCCGGGCTCCAGGTGACCGCCCGCGCCAGCGCGCGCGCCCCCGCGGCGCCCCCGGGGCGGGAGGCGAGCTGCTCCACCTCTGAAGGGGCCCTGGCTGCACTTCTCTTTCCTCCATGAAGGGGCCCTGGGACACACAAATAAATCCACACGAATGAAAATATTCCCCATGTTTTCCATATTTTCTAAGCTTTTGTCTTCCCCCCCACTTCCCATATTTTCCGGGGGAATCGAAGATTAACTGTGTCTGTGTGTTTTTGTTCCCTCCTGAACCTCGGCGGCGGCGCTCGCGCCAGGGAAGGCGAAGGCGCGGCTGCCCTGCCGGCTGAGCTGCCGCACGGTGGCGGCTCGGAGGGAGGTGTCGGAGACCTGCCGGAGGAACTCCGTGGCGGGACCGTTGGCCTCGGGCTCGGGGTGGCCGCTGGGCTCGGCGGCGGCCACCGCGGGCGGCTTCGTCGGAGTGGCGAGGCAGATGAGCATGGCCAGGGCCTTGACGCCAGCCGCCAGGAACCAGGGCAAAGTGTGGCTGACATGCTGGTAGATCGGGGTCACGGAGTACGGTCCCACGGCGCGCGCCACGTTGCCGAACAGTGTCATCCAGCCGATGGCCGAGCCGAACATGGACGGCGGGACGACGAAGGTGATGATAGTCTGGACGCTAGTGCCCATCATATTCTCACCAAACACGATGCCCTGGCAGAATCCGAAGAACCACCACTTGTTCGCAGGCACTCCCACCATCGCAAATGACACTGCCGAGAAAATGCCGCCGAGGGCAATACTGCCTTTGATTCCAGTTCTGGCGACGATCGGTGCATACAAGATAAGGTTTACAACGAGGCCCACAACACCAACGCCAGTGACCATGATCGAAAACCACGACGTGGCCTCTTTCAAAGGATCGCCCGCGTCTTGAAAGATTTCATCTTGCAGGTACAGCACGCCCATCACCTCAAATGCTGTGAAGGGTAGCGACGTGAGAAACATCACGATGCAGATGACCCACGCCACAAGGGGTAGCCTCGGAGCGGAAGCAGCCGGAGCGTCCCCTGCCGCGCCCGCCCGGGCGGCCTCCTCCTCCTGCGCGATGATCGCGGGATCCCTGAAGGCCCTCGAGTCGGGCAGGAAGAACACGATGAGGACAAGGTTCACTGCGCATATCCCAGAAGCGCCCAGGCATGCCATCTTGTAACCGCCAATCTTGTTCATCCAGCCACCCACCGAAGGCCCACCGCTGAGCCCCGCGAATATGGCTGCCTGGAAGTACGTCATATATGTGGCTCGCTCCGATTCGTCGGTGACGTCGGCGATGTACGCGCCCGCCACGCCTGCCGTGCCACCGCAGATGCCTTGCAGAAGGCGCGCCACCAGGAGGAACCAGAAGGTTGTCGACTCCCCGATGAGGGCCGACGTGACAGCACTTCCAAGCATGGCCAGGATGAAGATGGGCCGCCTGCCGAAGCGGTCGGCAAGTGCACCCAACTGCGGAGCGGCGAAGCCTTCCGCAGCCGCTGCGACGCTGCCCAAGATACCTATCTGGCTTGCGCCGTCGGTGGTGTTGCAGACCTTCATGACGATCTCGGGCATCAGCGGGAAGACGAAGCTGATCTGGAAAAAATCCACAAACACGATAAAATAGAGGATCCCCATCGTTACGTTGCTCGCACGCGCCATGTACACACCTGTGTCGCCCCAAGGGGCACAGGACAGCGGCAAAGTGTAGGGCAGCGTCCGCACCACTTGAGCCGACCACACTGTCCGCGGGAGAGATAACGAAAGAGAGAGAGAGAGAGAGAAAGAAAAGGCATGCGTTAAGTCGGGCCAGTCCCCCTCCAGGGGGATTTTCGACGAACAATTTAAAAAAAGAAACAAATGCCCCAAAAAGGCCAAACAATACTCAAAAAATAGTCCCCAGACAATGTTTTGACTATTTTTGGGGTATTTTTATTTTTCGTCCAAAACCCCCCTGTAGGGGGACAGGCCCGACTTAAGGCATGCGAAAATAATCCGAGACCGTTTGGACCGCTCTGGAAACTGTGAACCCCCACAAGCCGGCACCCCGTCTGACCGCTCTTGCTTCCGCCGGCTCCCGCCGGGAGAAGCCTGGAACGTATCCCTATCCCTATGCTGGGCACCTCCTCATCACGATGCCAATCTTAGGGGTTCCCTTATCTTTCCAGGGCGAATCCCTAAGATTGTCATCGCCTTTTGGCGTGTCAATCTTAGGGATAGGGATACGTTCGAGGCTGGTAAGAAGAGGAGGGCACGGCCTGCTTCCGTCTGAGACAGCCCCGCGTGCGGAGGGCACGCCCTCGACCCAGTCCGAAGCAGTTCGAGGATGGCCGCGCGAGCGGCGAGCGCTGTGGCGGCCTCACGCCCGTGACCTCCACGGAGTACTCCTGGCAGGCGCCGCCCCGCGGATCCGGGGCACGACTCGATCGGCAACGAAGATCAGAACACGGGAACAGAGAGGTGTTCGAAAGATACCCTCTATCGATCGAGAAAGATAAAATGAAGCCAGGACAAGGATAAATCCGGACGAGGATTCAATCGGGAATATCTGAGATCTGGCGGCTCTGGAGAATGTCTCCGGCGCCGCTGTCTTCTCAGAGCGTTCCGAAACGCTGTGAGAGCGTTCAGGAACGCTCTCCAACGGATTGATCCTCGTCCTCGCCCCGCCCGACAATGTCTAGGATGGATTTGAACTGGTATTGCCACAATCCATCCTACAGAAGGGCCGCTGAAACAAGGAACGCCAGATGAGGAACGAAAGCCCCTTGTTGGCGCCAACATTGCCCAGGTGCACGAGAAGAGCTAGAGGAACAACCACGGAAGGACCCAAGGAACAGCGAGCCCCTTCCGAACCCTAAGCGCTCCCTACTTCAGCGTCTTTGAAGGGGCCCTGGGACACATAAATAAATACAGTCAAAACCCTAATAAGGACGCGCGGTAAGGACGCAAGACCCTTGGAAGCCCAAGTCGGGATTTTTGGGGCGGCGGACGACGGACGCAAGAGCAAGGAAGAGCAAGGACGCAAGGGTACCCTGAGCAAAGTCGCGCGTCCTTCTTTTGGTTTTTGACTGTACACACACACAAATAACAGGATTCGCCATACGTTCTTGTATTTTCTGGGTTTTTGTCTTCCCCCCCACTTCCCATATTTTTTGGGAATCGACGATCAATTGTGTCTGTGTGCTATTTCCCCTACTGACTCAAGCCATGTCCCCAAACTCTCCGGCGACCGCTCGGCATGATCCAGGCCACCCGGGATCCTCGCGGCGAGGCGCAGCTGCTGCAGGCATCCCGAGGCTGGAGAGACCGCCGAGGGCCCCCAACAAAAACGCCCGAAGGCTGCAGACGGCCGGCGGAAAAACGCCCGAGAACCGCCGAGAGCCGACGGGAACGCCCAGATTCAGAATCAGCGCTGCAATCTACAAGGTCGCGGGGCCGCTCTCGCCGGCCGCGTCGACGGAGGCGGTGCGGCGCGGCGTCCGGGTGAGGGCGCGGAGCCCTCCTCCTCCTCCTCCTCCTCCTCCTCCTCCTCCTCCTCATCCCGTTCCTCCTGAGGGGGCATTGTCCCTGTCAGTCCTGCAATCTGTAGGGTCGGGGGGGGTGGTCTCGCCGGCCGCGTCGAAAGAAACGGAACGGCGCGGCGCCCGCCGGGGAGGGCGCGGAGCAAACCTCCTCCCCCCGTTTCTCTGGGCAGGCCTAGCTGATGCGAAATTTGCGTGTTGAGGTCGCGTGGCGGCTGTTGCTCGCGTGCGAACATGCGATGCAGAGCGATTGGTTCGTAAGGCACATGCGAACTCACCTCCGATTCTCGCGCGCTCGTCATCAACTCTAATTCAGGCCAGCCTACCGTCTCGTGCCAACCGCCACACAACGACACAACGACCTGCGACACGGACAACGACAACAGTGCTTAATACTCACAGATTCTGTTCCTCGATATTAATCCTCTTCCTCTCTCCTCTCTTAGTAGTTGTAAGTAGTAGTAGTGGAGGTAGTGGAAGTAGTAACAGTAGTAGCACTAGTAGCAGTAGTAGTCGTAGTGGTAGTGGTAGTGGTAGTGGTAGTGGTAGTGGTAGTGGTAGTGGTAGTGGTAGTGGTAGTAGTAGTAGTAGTAGTAGTAGTAGTAGTAGTAGTAGTAGTAGTAGTAGTAGTAGTAGTAGTAGTAGTGGTAGTAGTAGTAGTAGTAGTAGTAGTAGTAGTAGTAGTAGTAGTAGTAGTAGTAGTAGTAGTAGTAGTAGTAGTAGTAGTAGTAGTAGTAGTAGTAATAGAAGTAGTAGTCGTAGTAGTAGTAGTAGTAGTAGTAGTAGTAGTAGTAGTAGTAGTAGTAGTAGTCGTAGTAGTAGT